GTGTAAAACCGTCTGTGTGTAAAAGCTTTTGTGTGTAAAAGCGTCTGTGTGTAAAAGCGTCTGTGCGTAAAAGCGTCTGTGTGTAAAAGCTTCTGTATGTAAAAGCTTCTGTGTGTAAAAGCGTCTGCGTGTAAAAGCGTCTGTGTGTAAAACCGTCTGTGTGTAAAAGCGTTTGTGTGTAATAGCGTCTGTGTGTAAAAGCGTCTGTGCGTAAAAGCGTCTGTGTGTAAAAGCTTCTGTATGTAAAAGCTTCTGTGTGTAAAAGCGTCTGCGTGTAAAAGCGTCTGTGTGTAAAACCATCTGTGTGTAAAAGCTTTTGTGTGTAAAAGCGTCTGTGTGTAAAAGCGTCTGTGTGTAAAAGCGTTTTTGTGTAAAGGCTTTTGTGTGTCAAAGCGTCTGTGTGTCAAAGTGTGTTTGTGTAAAAGCACCATGTGTAAAAGCTTTTGTGTGTAGTTTTACCGCACGACATGGAACTGTCAGAGATTGAGGGTGAAAATGCTTGCTAGTGCATCCGTGCTAGGACGTGTGGAGCTCGGTTCGTTTGGTGTGGCAATTTGTGTGGGAAATTGTATATTAAAATGGAATAACATGTGTCTTCCCGGTGAATTGCGGTACCGTTCTTTTTCAAACCGATTTTTGGTTGATATGTTCGACAATGATGCCCATCCCAAGTGGCAAACTCACGAATTGTGTTCTCAGTTTCGAAGGTGCCCATGCCCACTGTCAAACTTACGAATTGTGCTCTCAGTTTCGAAGTCGGAGAACGAATTCTCTGCATTGGATTCTCGAGTGCGTAGCTCACAGCATCATGGTACCGAGGTTTTTTGTGCCATTTATGTGAGATTTGCCATAGTGAAATGAAATAACATGTGTTATACCCTCACATCATGGTACTGAGCTTTTTTTAACAGCAATATTCTAGTGTGTCGGTTTGATATGTTCATAGTGAGCTTCACTGTTCAGTTTGCATGTCTATGCGACAGTGATGTTTGCATGTCAAACGCAGGAGTCGTGGTCTCAGGCTTCGAAGAACACATTCTTTGCATTGAATTGTGCGAGTGCGTAGCAGGTTAGTGCATGAAGTTGTAGAAGTTACCAAGCTGTTGGGTTCGTTGTACCTTTGTGGATGTTTCCTTCGAGAACGGTGTGATGCATGTAATTTACAGCATGTACCGAGCCTTTTTTGGCAATTTGTGTGGGAAATTGTATATTAAAATGCAATGCAACAGCAATGCAACTGCTTTCGATGGTGCGCGCTACACCAAGGTTGAGACCACACAACGATGCTGTTGTTTGGACGTGTGTCGCTCAATGACAGAGTATGGTCCTGAACTCAAACTCTTTGTTCCCGAGAGCGCCTGCGAAGGGTTCTTCGTAAAAAAGCAGCCGTTATACTACATCTTCACACCTTCACATCTGCTGATCTACATCTTCACACCCTCACATCTGCTGATCTACATCTTCACGCCCTCACATCTGCTGATCTATACATCTTCACACCCTCACATCTGCTGATCTAGATCTTCACACCTTTACATCTGCTGATCTAGATCTTCACACCTTCACACCTGCAGATCTAGATCTTCACACCCTCACATCTGCAGATCTAGATCTTCACACCTTCACACCTGCAGATCTAGATCTTCACACCTTCACACCTGCAGATCTGGATCTTCACACCCTCACATCTGCAGATCTACATCTTCACACCCTCACATCTGCTGATCTACATCTTCATCACGCCTACATCTTCACACCCTCACACCTGCAGATCTACATCTTCACACCCTCACACCTGCAGATCTAGATCTTCACACCCTCACATCTGCAGATCTACATCTTCACACCTTCACATCTGCAGATCTCCTCTGGCGGTGCCGCCGGAGCGCCACGAAACGCAACCTTTTCGCACGAAATGGACGTTGGACGTCCAAAACCTAGGTAAAATTGCTATTTTGAAGCGTCGCGCGCAACCCTTTCGCACGAAATGGACGTTGGACGTCAAAAACTGAGGAAAAATTGCGACTTTGAGGTGTCCCCGGCAACCCTTTCGCACGAAATGGACGTTGGACGTCAAAGACTGATGAAAAATTGCGACTTTGAGGTGTCCATCGCAACCCTTTCGCACGAAATGGACGTTGGACGTCAAAAACTGAAGAAAAATTGCGACTTTGAGGTGTCAATCGCAACCCTTACGCACGAAATAGACGTTGGACGTCAAAAACTGGGAAAAAATTGTGATTTTACATAGTCAATCGCAACCCTTACACACGAAATGGACGTTGGACGTCAAAAACTGGGGAAAAATTGCGATTTTACATAGTCAATCGCAACCCTTACGCGCGAAATGGACGTTGGACGTCAAAAACTGAGGAAAAATTGTGATTTTACTTGGTCAATTGTAACCCTTTCGCACGAAATGGACGTTGGACGTCAAAAACTGAGGAAAAATTGCGATGGACGCTTTCGTTTGTGTAAAAGTGTCTGTGTGTAAAAGCCTCTATGTGTAAAAGCGTCTGTGTGTAAAAGCGTTTGTGTGTGAAAGCGTGTGTGCGCGTGTAAAAAGCATCTGCGTGTAAAAGCGTCTGTGTGTAAAAGCGTCTGTGTGTAAACGCGTCTGTGTGTAAAAGCGTTTGTGTGTGAAAGCGTGTGTGCGTGTGTAAAACGCATCCGCGTGTAAAAGCGTCTGCGTGTAAAAGCGCCTGTGTGTAAAACCGTCTGTGTGTAAAAGCTTTTGTGTGTAAAAGCGTCTGTGTGTAAAAGCGTCTGTGCGTAAAAGCGTCTGTGTGTAAAAGCTTCTGTATGTAAAAGCTTCTGTGTGTAAAAGCGTCTGCGTGTAAAAGCGTCTGTGTGTAAAACCGTCTGTGTGTAAAAGCTTTTGTGTGTAAAAGCTTCTGTGTGTAAAAGCCTCTGTGCGTAAAAGCGTCTGTGTGTAAAAGCTTCTGTATGTAAAAGCTTCTGTGTGTAAAAGCGTCTGCGTGTAAAAGCGTCTGTGTGTAAAAGCGTCTGTGTGTAAAAGCTTTTCTGTGTAAAAGCGTCTGTGTGTAAAAGCTTCTGTGTGTAAAAGCGTTTGTGTGTAAAGGCTTTTGTGTGTCAAAGCGTCTGTGTGTCAAAGTGTGTTTGTGTAAAAGCACCATGTGTAAAAGCTTTTGTGTGTAGTTTTACCGCACGACATGGAACTGTCAGAGATTGTGGGTGAAAATGCTTGCTAGTGCATCCGTGCTAGGACGTGTGGAGCTCGGTTCGTTTGGTGTGGCAATTTGTGTGGGAAATTGTATATTAAAATGGAATAACATGTGTCTTCCCGGTGAATTGCGGTACCGTTCTTTTTCAAACCGATTTTTGGTTGATATGTTCGACAATGATGCCCATCCCAAGTGGCAAACTCACGAATTGTGTTCTCAGTTTCGAAGGTGCCCATGCCCACTGTCAAACTTACGAATTGCTCTCAGTTTCGAAGTCGGAGAACGAATTCTCTGCATTGGATTTTCGAGTGCGTAGCTCACAGCATCATGGTACTGATGTGAGATTTGCCATAGTGAAATGAAATAACATGTGTTATACCCTCACATCATGGTACTGAGCTTTTTTTAACAGCAATATTCTAGTGTGTCGGTTTGATATGTTCATAGTGAGCTTCACTGTTCAGTTTGCATGTCTATGCGACAATGATGTTTGCATGTCAAACGCAGGAGTCGTGGTCTCAGGCTTCGAAGAACACATTCTTTGCATTGAATTATGCGAGTGCGTAGCAGGTTAGTGCATGAAGTTGTAGAAGTAAAAGCGTCTGTGTGTAAAAGCGTCTGTGTGTAAAAGCTTCTGTATGTAAAAGCTTCTGTGTGGAAAAGCATCTGTGTGCAAAAGCGTCTGTGTGTAAAAGCGTTTCTGTGTGAAAGTGTGTGTGCTTGTGTAAGCGTATGTGTGTGAAAATGTCTGTGTATAAAAACGTCTGTGTGTTAAAGTGTTTGCGTGTAAACGTGTCTGTGTGGAAATGCGTCGGTGTGTAACGGCTTCTGTGCAAAAATTCACCTTTAATGTATTGTCTTGTAATATAGTGTCTCAATACTAACAACAGAAGACCCTGCTCTCTCTCTCCCTCTCAAACGTCTCCCCCTCTTTCTACCTCTCCGTCTCTCTCCCTCTCCCTCTCTCTCGCCCTCTCCCTCTCTCTCTCTCTCTCTATCTATGTCTCTCTGTGGTTGCACGTCATGTGTCATACGATGCCCTTTACCAAGCAGCACAGTGCATGTGCATAGGTTATCACATGTATCCTCTTCTTAATCAATCTTACTTTTCACAACCTATCCCTCCATAGCTCATATAAACTTCACCAACCATTCACCGACTATTTTTTACGACTACCATACTCAGAGCTGCTTGAAAAATGCGTTTTTCGCTCTCGGGCCAACCGTCGTCTAGTTTGTGCAAGAGCCTTCTCTCTGACAGTAAGAGCTTTCTGGCATGCAGAACAGCTGAGATGAGTTGAGACGAACTTCGAGGAGATGAGAAAGGTTGATCAGTGCTCGGATGAGATGAAAACAGTTGAGAAGAACTTACCAGTACTTAGATGACACGTGAGAAGAGATGGGATGAGATGAGAAGAGCTGAGATGAGGTGAGAAGAGCTCACATGATTTGAGATGAGATGAAGTGTGCGAGTGTGAAGTGTGAAGTGCGGGGTGTGAAGAGCGCAGTGTGAAGTGTGAAGAAAGTCTTCGCTTGGCGTTGCATTGCACCGGGGTCGTGCGCAGGTCATGTTCTTGGACAACAACACTGCAACAGCTTCGCACAAAGCACGCACGCACGGGCCTGGCTGGCGCACGGCGCATTCAAGTTCTATAGATAAGAAAGGTCTTATAGTATATCCCTAAGGCAACTTCCGGCCCACCTCGTGCGGGTACTACTGGTAATGATCAGTGATTAACCGCCATCAATGACGATCAGTGTTTCGAAATCTCGCATGATTGTTCAAAGATGTTCAAAGCACATTTGGTTCCCTGCCTGCTGCCATCGTTCCAACGCTGATCGCGACTTGGACCGCATAGTTGTTGTTCGCGCAGCCAAGGCTCGCAGAAAGGGAGGCACTGAGCCCAACCCAAACACTCGGAAGCTTACCACCTGATATAGTCAAGCCAACGCCAATAGCAGCCCAAACCGAGACGAAAGCTTGAGGAGGCACCAGCTCCTTGACCAAGCTTTCGAAGGCGCCGGTAGTGCCAGTGATCATGCCAAAGGAGACCGAGCCATAGGAGCCCAAATTTTTGTAGTAGCCCTGAGTATACCACAGCGACCACTTCCCGAAACATTTGACCATGTTCACAAAGAAATCCCAGACCCCTTCACTTCGTGTGCTCAACAGTGCGAGATGTGCAGACTGGTTGGACACCTGGCGCAACGGTGTAGCTTCTCCATGAGCTTCAGCATCAGCTTCAGCTTTGGTTCGCTGCCATTTCTCAAACTCCACGCGGTCGACAAGCTTCATCATCTTCGGGAGTCCGCCTGGTGATTCAAGAAACTTTTTCAGAACTCGTTTCACAGCCTTGTTGCCAGCAAGGCCATACGCATGCGCAGCCTCCAAGCAAACAGCTTGAAGGGTTTCACATGTTTCACTCAATTTGCTTTATAGAACAATTTGCTTCACAAAAAATAAAATAAGGTAAGTCGCTGTAAGTCGATGCACAAAACAAAACACGTCAAGACAGTGTCCACTGCACTGCGCCTCCAGAGAGGAAGCTTGCGCCTCGCGGCGCCAAAGTTGCACCAGCACTGGATGTTCTGAGAGATGACTTTGGAAGCGCCGTTGCAAAGTAGCCCGGTTGATAATCTCAGCCTTCAAATGAGAGAGCGCTCCACTTTTCATGAAGAGCAGGGTCTGCTTGTAGCTGGCTAAAACAATATCCCAGTAGTTCGTGTGGTCACACTTCATCCTCACACATACAGGATACCAAGTTTTTGCCCAGCGCTTCACAACCGAATACGACACATTGTCTGAGGATGTCAAAGAACTCAGAATTTGATGAGACTCCCGGGTGGCCTTGTTCAAGGCTGCAGACGTTGAAAAGGCCGAACGCACCGCAGCGGTGTCCATCTCCTTCTTCTCCTGATTCTCCTGGATCATGGACGGAACAGCCAAGCTTGTGGCATCCAACTTCTCGAACATGTCGCACACGTATTTTGGTGGCAGGAATTGACCGGGAGCTGTCTGGTTGATGTTTGACTCCTTGATCAAAGCTTCGGTAAGCATGTTCCAAATGATGTCAAAGCTGGCGAGTTGCTCCATGATCGCCACCAAGAAGGCAATGGGAAGCTTACCAGCCTCTACCGCTGGCTCGATGAGGCAACTTGCAATTCTGATGCACTGCTCTATGTGAGTCCAATCTTTTAGAGGGCAGTACTTGTTGGCATCCTCACCCATGACCTCATGCAAGGCACCATAGAATCCGGCAGTTTTATCATATAATAGCTCAAGATCCTTTGAATAGTTGCCAAAGCGGTACGCGATGTCGAGATGCGTCATGTTTTTGCCGCTGCTGATCAGCCCAGAATAATTGGTCAAGTTGACGAGGGCGATGGGAAGCGACACAGCCAGCTCTTGTAGCTTCTCAAGACCATCCTTCTCAGCCATCTCACCGCGGAGTGCAATCTGCTTCGTCACAGTGGAGTGCACTTCGAGGAAATTGAAAGGACTGACTTTTCTCCTGATAGCTACAGCACCCACATAGCTCTCTGTCTCTGGGCAAATAGAGTACAGGTGACACCAGCCGTTGCTTGGATAATAGACCGCACCCATGCAGGTCTGGTCCTGCTGACAGCCCGCGGGCATGTCATCATTCTCACACTTTTCTTGACATTCAGCCTGTGTGATCTGAGACCAGCCGTTGCAGTTCCCCCGCACTCGTCATAGGTGTACGGGGAGCCTTTGCACGATTGATCGGTAAAAGACTCCCACGGCTCTGGAGTCCAGTGGTCACCATAGCCGCTGTAGGTGACGGTGAACCTTGGCCAATCACCTGTTGGCGGTGAATTCCAATTATAGTGCTGAGCTGTCGCAATCACTGTTTGATAGTCCATCGCCACAAATCGATTGAAGTAGCCGCTGTGCAAGCCAATTTTGCCGTTCCCAAGATCCACCACCTGGAACTTCTCCCACTGCCAGGCACCTTGAAGATCTGCCTTGGCCATGACGTGGGTGGAACGCATTTTCTGCGTGTCAGTCATTTGAACGTACCGCCCAAACTTTTCATTGTACAAGCCAAGCATTCCCATTCCAACGTCCACTACTCGGAACCTTTCATCATCGCAGGAGTCACACAAATCATCTGCTCCTTGTTGATGCGTGGTGACCAAGTCGGCACTATCGGTGTTGATCATTTTCATAAAGCGCTGGTGCCAGGGGTTGTAGAACGACACCTTCTGGAAAATCAACCAAGGCTTGCAACTAGCTCCTTTTGGAAAGTAGAGATACGGACAATCGTCTTTCTGATAGGACTCCTCTTGCACAAGAAACTTCTCCCATGTGTTGGAGCTCTGCAACTGGTCAGAGCCCAAAGGACCGAGGACAACAAGCTGTGCTGAGTCGTCCATCTTCACAAAATGCTGAAAGTGTGGATTGTAGAGAGCAACGTTTTGATCACCGTAGGCCACCAAGTCGCCCACCAAGGTAAAGTGCTCGCCGCCGCTGGCATCGCAGTTGGGTTCACCTGCATCACGAAGTCCACCGGCCCGGATAAAGCCCTGAGCATCCATTGCGAGGAAACGGTTGTGCTCAATGTTGTGAAGAGCAATATTTCCATTGCCCGCATCCACCACTTCGAATCTCTCCCATGTCCAGCCATTTGGCAAGCTCGGTGCGAACAAGTATTCCCAACCTGGAAAGGTGTGTCTTGGAATGACAGCTGATGCATCTGCCCAACCACCTTCTTTGACCCGAATATAGCGCTCATGATATGGGTTGTACAAACCAATGGTCTTGCCAATGATATAAGCTTTGCAGCTTGCTCCATGCGAAGTGTGGAGACTAGGACATGGCCTGGTGTAGGTTTGCTGCAGAATTCGAAAATCATACTTTCGTACACCAGTTCCTCCTGTTCCAGATCCTCCGGTGCTGGCACCAGTGCCGAAGGCTGCGGTTCTCGCCTCAACCGGGCCAACTTTTATGCCTCCCTCGTTGATGATGAAGCGCTCATTGTGAGCACTCCAAATCGCATGGCCATTTTCGGTCCCCTGCAGAGTGAATAGCCCTCCTGCCGGGAGCCGTGCCCACTCAAATTCACTCAGGACTTCACTCACCTGCAGAGATCCACCTTTCATGATGAGGTACCGGCTCCATTCGGTGTTGTGTAAGGCATGTGTGCCCGAGCCAGTGCCCTAGGTGGAAGCGCACTCAAAACAATCTGGGGATACCTGGGGACAATGGACATGAACCCATGGCTTTCTTATGGTTTCCTGAACTTTCTCAACGAAAGCGCAGTAAAGTCATTTTTTCCCAAGCGATATGCAATCCAGGTCTGAACTACACGTCAGCAGCAGCAGGCCCTGAGTTGGTTGTTTATTTCATTTTTGGGTTAACAATTTCCACTGATCTCGGTTTTCAGCAATTCGTCAAAAGGAGATGCATAAAACGAGTGGTATATATATATACTTGTGGGGGAAAAAATCTTAAGTTCCACAATTGCGAAATGTTGGTAGAAAGGATGTGAAAATTCTCCTCGTAGGGGAGGAGAGTTCCTGAAATGGTGAACTCCGTGTGAGGCTTCGGATAGTACTAACTCAGGCCAATGGGCGCGCGGTGCGCCTCCACGGAATGGAGATGAAATGGTAGAAAGAGAGGAATTAAAGCAAATATGGAATTCTGGAAGAATAAGATGTCTAAGGATATGACCAACGTGTTTGATTATCGAATCAGTGGTTAGTATAGAAGATGGAACACATGAAGGTGATATGGGGAGTAGGTATCCGTTGGAGCAAGGAGAGTCAAAGGGTTGGAGAACTCGGTGATAATAAGGATTTTCAGTTTGGAATGTCTGGCGGAGAGCTTTATAGTGAAGGGAATCAATTTTTGCTATTTCGGCTGGAGAGCAAATTTGTGATTCTGAAGCACGGGGTAAAAACTCGGAGTTTAAATTTCTGGGAAATCATTGAGTGGCAAAAAAGGCCAAGAGATTTGAAGGCAGAGGATGCTTGCGAGCATCTGAAGCTTACATCCGGGATGGAGGAAGGTGCAATAAAAGTGCCTAGGTATTTAGCACTCTTTAGCGCGGGAGGGTCAAAAGGATTGGGATCTGGAGTCGAAAAAAAAGGGTCAAAAGGGGCAATTACGTGCAATTACAATGAGATTGCGCGGCAGAGAGAAACTGAAATGGGGAGAGAGGATGAGAGAGGAATAAACGGAATAGAGTTGAATCGAGGCAAAGGAGTTGACACTTGGATCCATTTGTGCCATTTAAGAGGAAGCCGATACTCGCAGCAAGGTGCTGGAAACGGAGGAGACGAGAGAGTGTCTCTTGTGTGCGGGCAATGAGAACAGTATCGTCAGCGTTTCGACGTCTGCGAATGGATTCTTGAAGGAGCAAGTCTAGGGGCGATAGGAGAAGATTTCCTGGAATAGAGAATTTAGATCTGAAGTGAGAGCAGAGAGAACAATGATAACGAGGAAAGGGCTAAGCGGACACCCTTGACGGATTCCCCTGTGGAGAATGTGATGAGGGGAGTCTGAGAAAAATTAAACAAAGAATTTGGCATTATGATATAATGCCATAATGGCATGAATCAATATTGGGGGAATGCCGTATCGATGTAGAGCTGCGGCAAGATGTTGATGGCCAATAGAGTCAAAGGCTTGTGACCAATCGAGGAAGAGGCTGTATAGAGACGTATAGTGCCTTTGCGGAAAAGAAAAATGGGAGTGGAAGGACCACATTGTTGGGGCTGGAGATATTGATCAATAGCGTGTGTGGAGTTTGGGCGGGCATGTATGCGTAATCGTGTTTGCGAAATATTTTGCTGGTGTTGCAGTGGCATTCAAGTTTTTGGCGGTTTATCGGTGGTCTTTGCTTGTGGGTGTCTTGGTATTTCAATGGTGCGTTGCATCTGAGCGCAGACATAATACATCATATCAAACAATCCTGCACACTTGTGGCCCATGACATCTCCAGCGTTTTCGTGTCACCGGTGAAGCCTAAGAAAAGGAAAAGGCAGCTTGCGTATGATAAAGTACACAAGTGCAAATCTCATCCGAAACAAAAATGAAATACCGCCAAAGCCGATTCTACATTTTCAAGGGAAATTGTGATTTCTGGTGCGCGTTTTCGATTTGATTGAATAAGTCAGGTTTTCTGCATTTTTCCCGCATTCTCTTGGCAGCCGGCGTGCTGAAGTGCAATTTACATCTATAGGGATATATAGGGCATGCTCCCTCTCTTCCCTCTCTTTTTAAGTTCTGTAGTCTTGGCACTGCTTCACTGGCTTCACGATGATGTTTAGGTAATGTATGGTCATATTTTGTTGGTGTCTTCTGGATCTGGATTCCTTCTCTAGTTCGAGAAACTGAGAGAAGTTTTTGCGTAAGATTCATCATGTTGGTACTGGGATCTTTCTGGCTGTGTATATATATATATCATATTTGTATAATATCTTTTGTGTCTACCTAATTTGCCAGGGGAACGGTGGCAGTTTGCTACCGGGGATGTCTTAAGATATTTGAATGCTTTCCGTGGTTTGCCGCGCTGGTTTGCAGGAAAGTTGAGGATTTACGTTGGACATGTTTGTATTCGCAAGGGAAAACTTGACAATTTGTAGGAAGATTGAAGGCTTGCAGGATTTGAAATGAACAATGATAAAAAAAAAAAGATAAATAAATAAATAAGTCATTGTACTTTTTGAATGAATGTTCAATAAAAAATGAAACCCCTTATATGAAAAGGGTTTAAGTCGGGACAGCGTGATATTTGATTCGGGTCATGAAAGTTCTTTGTGTAAAATAGCTACATTGATGGTGTTTTTCTAACTTGGTACCTGGCCATACCCTCGGCATCAAGAAGTCATCATTTACCATCCGTTTACGGACATCTACAGTCCACTACAACAGTCCAAATGATCCACTACAAGAATCCACTTCACTGCGTCACATTACGTCAATGTCACAAGTGCTTCCAAGATTCCACCAGCTTGAAGCGCTCAGCTCTGGCCTCATCTGCAAGGTTGTCGTTCCCGCCCCAGGAGTGTCCAACCTGACACCCTTCGATTTTCAACCACCTGCCCTCCTTCAGGCCGCGAATTGCAATGTATGATCCTGCTGGAGGAAGTTGAAAGCCTGGCACCAAAGACAATTTGGAAGCTATGGTCCCTTCAACCACATGTTCGTAAAATATGTGTGTGCGAAACAGATGTGTGCAAAAAAAAGTGGAAATAAGATATGTAGGCAAGGGTATGTGTATGCAAAACAGATGTGTATAAGACATATGCATGTAAGGCATGCATTTATGTGTATATTATATTAAATTATATTATACTATATTATATTATATTATATGATAATATATTATATTATATTATATTATATCATATTGTGTTATATTTTATATTTTATATTATATTATATTATATTTTATTGTATTATATTCTG